TGTGTGTTTAGCCTAACTCCAAGATGTGAGTGATGGATGTCTTGAAAAAAGTGTAAGATTTCATACTCGAATAAACTTTTTGTGAGTGTAAAAATAGCTCTTTATCAGTAAAACACTGGATGGAAACCGCAAAGGAAATGCAGACAACCATGGTAGTGCCATGGAAAGAAGAAAGAACGTGCTGCCATGGGGCGTGAGTCATGCTTCTGACTGGCGCCTCTGAATTGCTGTGTGGCTCAGCTGTTGGTGGCAAACACATTTGAAGACTCCCTGGAACCAGAAGCTTTCCCGGGTTGTGTTTTCAGCTCTAGATACAAAACAGGCTGCACCTTACCAACTGTGATCAGAGGCTGCTGGTGGGTCTTCTGTCCAGCTGTGTCTTCTCTGGATGAGCTGCTGCCTTTGCATCCGATATGCTCTAGAACTTTCTTCTCTGCAGCCTTTTCTCCTGATGGCAAGAGTAGTTCAGCCCATTCCAGCACTGCTTGTGTTCAGCTCATCCCACACAAGGAACATGCCAGTTCCCATACGTACAGCACCTTGCTTCCTTCCAGTCGACTTACTCCCTAGAAGGTGGCGGTGGTAACATGTGGAATAATAGATCAGAAGGAGAAATGGATGCATCCTTTGCCCTGAGTTCCTGTGTGTCCCTGAGGGCCACAGGCAGTCGTTGCCTGGTAACAGCAGCTGGCACTCAGGTGCACCCCGTGGTAAGAAGCAGTTTGTGTCATGAGGCAAGGTGGCATCTGAGGAGAAGGAATGGTTTCATGTGAACAGAAGCATGAGTACTCAAAACGCTGGTTCCCTTGGCGTCCCACCCTTCCCAGCCCCATCTCGACACCTGCCTGACCGCAGGCAAGTGCATGCAGACAGACACAGAGCATTTTGGTTCCGTGAGGGTGGGGGAGCTCTTCCCAGCCTTGGTCCACTTGGGTTTGGTGTCTGTGGCTTTGCTGAGCACTTAACTGTCCCGTGTTCCTCATCAGAGAGGTCGTGTGAATACAAGTAAAATAGCAACCATCCCTGTCTGCAAGGAGCTTGTTGTTTCCTTGGGAAAATACTTGCAAAGCAGATTATACAGAAACAGAAAATGGAAGCAACTAATTGCTATTATGGGTAGTAAACAAGAAAGGAGGTTCACAAGGACCAGGCTTACGGAAGGAAGCAGCCTTGCACTTGCTCTTGAAAAAAGCTCATGCAGGGTCTAGAAGAACATTCTAGGCCAGCGAAGTGAGTGAGTGAATCATTCTGCCCCTTGGCTGGAGAAGGGTTTACTGCACACACACACACACACACACACACACACACACACACACACACACACACACACCCACCCACCCACCCACCCAGGCAGTGGGTCTCAGTGGTACCTTCATCTTGATGAGTCACAAAGCCACTGAATTTATCTCTGTCCAACATGGATGGATGCAATTTCTGCCTCCCAGGGATATGTGAAGACATAATTTGGGTTTGTCAGAACTGTCTTGCTGAAAAGTTTGGGAGAGATACAGAATGTTGCAAACCACTCACTTGGCAAACTTTCTTAACATTTCACAGACTGACCGAGAACACGTTGATAGCAGGCTGTGGTGGGAGCAAGCATTGGCCCATCACCAGCAGTTTGATGGCCCCAACTGCTAATGCAGTGTGCTTCAGCTCTGGGTGTCTGCTCATGACAAGAAAAGTTCACTGAAGGATTACAGTTGTGGCATGACCTCTGTGTCTTCACATGGAAATCAGAAAGCTTCAAGACCAGCAGCAATATGTGAGGAAGGCCAACTAGCTGGAAAGGCTTTGCCTTTGAAACTCCATCTCTGTACTGGTGTATTTGTCATATGTAGGAAGCTATGTATATACATGTAATATGTGTAGGGTACATCTGGCTCCAGATGCCTGAGTTCCCCATGCAAACATTATCGTTTCCTGCCACAAGATGCTAACAGTTTTCCGAGAGTAACAGGGGAATCCTCTCTGAGCATTTTACTGGTGATCTCAGTGCCTGCGTTTGAATACACAAGAGCGAAGTCCTCTGTGAGCCCAGAAGAGGGTGCACAGGTAGCTCACTGAGCTGCAAAGCCTCCGCATAGGGGTTCCTAAGAGAAACAGAACAAACTCAGAGTTCTGTAGACACTTGAGAAAACTGGGCCTTTGTAGGTTGGGGTATCTTTCAGGGACCTGAGAAGATTGTGCCGTGTTACAATTGATACCTTGAGGGTTTATCTCTCTGCAAGAGCATCTTTCCTTTGCATCTGTTCTTTGTGTTTTCCTCAGTGGGAATTCAGAATTGTCAGAGACGGGCTTAGGCATTAAGGTCTAGCTCCAGTTGTGGCACAGGGCATGTACTCATGAACCATCGTAACCTACCTATGCTCATGAGTAGTCAAAGCGCAAATGGTGGAATGCAGTGCTGTGCCGAGTGGCTGTCTCTCCACACTGGAAGGGCACAGTGGAAGTTGTCTGATACCTGATACCTGCCCAACAGGGATTCATACCTGGGTGGAAGGTTGGACTTGGGTTTTACTTCCTGCTTTAAAAGGAGCCATGCTTTGTCAAGTGAATTTATGTGCTAATTTGATGGGTTATAAAACTCTTAAAGCTGGCTTCAGGCTATTTTTTATTTATATGAATTATGAACTAGATAATATAGTGTTTTTGCTCTTTTAAAAGTCTTATCTATTTTTGTCTCTTGAAGAGAGAAAATGAAATAAAAATGTTGACATTTTTTTCTGTATCATTCAACTTCCTTAAGCCTGCACTTGAGTCCCTGTATTGTATGATCAGCCGATATATATTTTAGCATTGGGATGGCTTGAAGTGAGAGAAGGGGCCACAGGGGAGTCTGTGTAACGCGGGCAGGAGATAATGCTGTGAAACTATCGATGAGACTTCTGTTGCGTAAATGGGCCACTGTCACGGCGCCGTGTGCCCGTGTGGGTGTGTTACCTTACGTGGAGGCAGGATCATTCTTGTTCATCAAACTGGGATTGGCCAGCACCAGGAGAGCCTTGAGAAGATCCATCACTGTGCTGTGTAAAATGTCAGCTGTTTTCTAGTATTTGAAGAGCAAACAAAGGGGCCTGGTTTTTGTCTCCTGGGGCAGCTATTTTTTATTTTTTCTGAAAATTACTTGTTGGGATTCCAGCAAAAATTGAATGCTAATAGAAAAAATTTAAACTTCTTCCCCAAACTTAGTTTCCATACATTCTGCATTTTATATTTTCAAATTCTAAAGTTCAAAATCACATGATTTTTGTTTTTTCAGACCAGAAACTAAAAAAATAAGGCTAGTAATGATTTGATAAGTAGTGATGTTGATAAAGGCACCCTTTGGTGAAAGTTCTCTGGGGTGATGGCCACTTAAAACCTAGTTGTCTATTAATACAATATTGAGTCTGCTGGAATTTCAAATGGGATGTTATTTTTGATTCTAGTGAGATATTCAGATGGGATATTCCTTTTGATTCTAGGAGCTGGGTTTTGAGGGCTACTGTGTTAAGCAAATACAGGGTCCATTTATATGTGTTGGTTTGTAATTAAGTTAGCTGCACAAGCAGACTTTGCCAGCCAAGTTCAGAATAGTTTTTAGAATCCTGATTTGGAAATTGCTTTATTCAGAAACCCTTTTCCCACTCTCCCACCGTGAAAGGGTAAAATAACCAGGCTCTTCCGGGAAGAATAAATGAATTATAGAAACCTAAGGTTAGCATTATTGTTTAATGACCTGATTATTTTAAAAGTCTCTTTGGGGCAAAGTTATTCTAGACATTGACTTTATTTAAGGCATATTTCTTATATTCTTCAACTTGAAGGTGTTTCCTTTTTCATACATGTCTTTATCACCTCCCTGTCAGCCAGCCACACCCATGTGGTGTCACTGGCATTTCATTATTTATGCCAACCTCTGAGGGATTTTCTTTGGCTTTTCAAGCTTTATAGTGAAATGTATTTATTTAAATTAAAATGTAAACCTCACTTCATCCCAGCTATTATGTATGAGTACTTCCTCAAATTTATTAATAACAACAGGACTAAAACAGTCATTAAAAAAAAAAAAAGACCAAGACAGTTATGAGTATCTGGTTTGTGTTGGAGTAGAGATGGGGCACCTCCCTTGCCCCCTTCCCCAGCTGAGGGGAGGAGGCTGGAACATGTGCGGTTTCAGCTCTGGCACATTCTCTCTCTGGGAGCAGCTGTGAGGGTGGCCATGTCTGTGTGGGGGGAGAAAGAAGGTGTCTCTGGCAGGCCAGGGTCCAGGTTGGAACTCGGCTCCTGTCCTCATGGGAAGACTTAACCTATATATGTGGCATCTGAGTTTCTAGGTCAACATATAAAGGCCTGTATAGTCCTGGAGCTGAGATCGGTGTCTAACAAAATCACAAAGCTCCAGAACTTCAGTGTCCCTGTTTTTTATGGGAACTTAATTGCTGTAACATTGTTTCTAGGGAGATGTTTTATTGAGAATTTTATCTAGGCAACTTGCCAGCAAATTTTTTTTTTTCTTGAGACAGTCTCTCTCTGTTGCCCTGGGTGTAGTGCAGTGGTGTGATCACAGCTCACTGCAACCTCCAACTCCTGGGCTCAAGCAATCCTCCTGCCTCAGCTTCCCAAGTAGCTGGGACTTCAGGCACTCGACACCATGCCCAGCTATTTTTTTTCTATTTCTGATAGAGATGGGGTCTCACTTTTACTCAGGCTGGTCTCAAACTCCTGAACTCGAGCAGTCCTCCCGCCTCGGCCTCCCAGAGTGCTAGGATTACAGGCAGGAGCCACTGCACCCTGCCCTGATGTCTTAAGTTATCTTCTGTCTGTTCGGCCTACCACCCCCACAGCACTTAGCTGGGGTGCTAAGGCCTCCCAGAAGGGGGAAGGAGAGAAGGAGAACCCAGCCGCCAGCCTTGTCTCCTAGCTGCTATGGGTGGCCCCAAGTGGAGTCCTCCTGGGGGCCTCGAGGGCTGAGCTATTGATGCTTGACTGCCTTTTAACTCTTTTCCCCACCTTAGGATGATTCCAGCCCGTCCACTCCGGATGAGAATGAGACCACCACGACGACAACCAGTGCCTTCACCATCCAGGAGTATTTTGCCAGGCGCATGGCAGAGCTGAAGAGCAAGCCCCAGGTCACAGCTCCCCGGCCTGATGGTTCAGATACTCAAGCGGAATTGAAAAGGAGAAAGAAAAGAAACAAAGAGGCAACAGGTAAAAATGGGGAGAGTTACCCCCAACCCAAGGCCAAGCAGCCTGAAGAGGAGACGTGCGAGGAAGAAGGAAGCCTTGAGCGCCCGGCCAAGAAGAAGAGAGCCCCGGTGTCGCAACAGCCCCGACGCGCCCTGCAGGACGAGAGCTCTGATGCTTCTGCCGAGGCTGCAGAGGATCACGTGCAGCCGCCCGGTGACCAGGATGTGATCCCAACACCCAGAAAAAGGAGAGAAAAGCAAAAGCTGCAAAAGCCAGTAGAGGAGGCAGTGGACATGGTGCCAGCTGAAACACTGGTGAAGAAGAAGAAGAAGAAGAAGAAAGGTCCCAAATGAGCCGTCGCCAGCCAGGGCCTCCGACCACGCCGCGTTGGGCGCTGCCGGCAGACGCCATTGGCCTGGAGTCAGGGTTAACCCAGGGAGTCTGGGCGTCTTCTGACACGCCGCCATTGCCGGTCCCGCCCTCTGCCGCGCTTCCCCAAGTTATATTCCCAGGAGAACTTTTTAATCTTCTAAATCACGGCTCTCATAAACAAATAAATTTTTTTATAAACTCGGAGCCCTTCACCACGAGTGTTTATTCATGTCTTGCGAATACATCCAGCCGTGTAAGTGTGCACGCAGGTGAGTCAGCGTCTCCGTCCGTGTTTGCTTTGATTCCCTTCAGTAACGACGAATGGGGCTTCCTCCTGAAGGACTTCGTCCAATTAAAGGATTAAGAGGCAATAGCTTGGATTCAGATAGTTCCTTTTGTTCTATAGCCAACCATACATTTTTGCCAAGTAGGAATTATATGATTACATTCCGAAATCAGAGATTTTTGGCCATGTTGTGTTGTTTTGGTTTTGATGGGCAGACTGTTTCGAGCCCTCTCGTCCACTGTGCCTCAGTGGCAGCCAGGCGTTCTCTGGTCCCCTCCCACCACCGCAGAGCTTCAGACGCGGTCTGACTCCGGGGACAGGGCCAGCCTTCAGCTCCCGGAGGAGAACTCTCGTGGTTCCTGTGTGAATGTAGGTGGCCGGGTGCGTTTCCTTCTCGGGTCCTGGAAGGCAGTCCCCAGGGTGAGCTCTGACTTACTGCTCAGGATCAGAAGGTTCAGAAAACTGAGAGGCTGAGATCACAAAGCTAACGTCAGTCTGAGATTGGGGCTGCTCTGATGAAAGGTCTTAAAAGCATAGATACTATATAAATAGTAAAAGACACCTTTCAGCCCTGCCCAAACCAAATGGTGTCACCTCCTGGTGTTTGTGCCACCTTCTGCCACACCCTGCTTGGCCCGTCTCCCTGTGTGCCAGCTGCACGTCCCTCTGGGGTTCACACAGATACCTGCAGACACTTCCCACCCTCCCTGGGACACTGAATGAAAAGAGCACACACTGAGAGTTAGAGGTCCAGCCCTCTGGTTCTCTCAGCCTGTGTCCTCTCCTCTCTGTCTTTACTTCTCTGCATGTCTTCCTTCTTTTCTTCATCCTTGTCTGCTTTTATTTCCCCCTTCCCACTCTCCTCTTCCTTCTAGTTCCCAGTTTTCCTGTACCCCCTTTGTAGTCCCCGTGCCCCGTCCTGCCAGTCCCGAGGCTGCTTGGCCCTGCTCCTGGCAGTCCCGGCAGAGCAGCGTGGGGTGGGGCAGGGAGGCACAGGCGGCATGTTGTTCTCCACTTGATTTATAGATTGCTACTGGTAACAGGAACTAAAACTCGCCCACACTCCAGTGACCTTTTGCCCTTAATTTTAACTCTCGAGGTCCAACATTAGATAGAAAGCACAGTCCCCAGATTCTTGGAGTGGAAAAAGTACATGGAGAATGTTTGCTTTTAGTCTCTAAGGATACTGAATAGTGCTCATTGTTTAAAAAGACACACATGCATGCACACACACACACAGCCCACAGAGAAGATTCTTACACATTCAGAGCCTGAGGACTCATCGGGTTTTATCATGTGGCCCAAAGTTTGGAATCCCAGGATAATAAAGCCCCAAAGATTTTTAAAGTCACTTTTCCCCACAAAGGGCACATCCCCAAGTTCTCTCTGCTTGTCCTGTCTTGTATGTGAAATGGATCCAGCGGGAGTGGGGATGTATGCAAACCTAAAGGGAGCTAACTTGTAAAAATGTATCTATAAATGGTTTTTTCCCTATTATTTTATTAACTTTAACTGCCTTTACCAATAAAAAGTGAGAGCCCGGAGAACACTCTGGATTGCATGTAGGAGGCAGGTGAGCTGCATTTAGGTCAGCCGTGAGGGTAGGCGGCCAGGTAGGAAGAGCAGACGAGGGAGGTGCAGTCCTTGGAGTTAGGAATTCCCAGGCAGCTGTGCCACGAGGTTGTTTACAAGCCACTTTTACAGAGAAGGTAAAATGGGGTGATGATGATTTTCATGAGCTGGAGAAAGGACTCCCGAATGGCTTCAAAATCATGCAGGGAGCCTGAGAATCAAGCATGTGTTCAGCAAAGGTGAGCAGGCTGACCATTTGCCCAGAAGGAGATGGAGCCTTGTATTTTCTCTAGAAATCCTCAACTTTTGTTTCGCCCAGGTGTCTCTTTCAGGCCACTTAATTTTCTAGATCTCAGTGAAAGTTAGAACAATGAAACAAATACTCTGAGAATTGCATTTTGTAGTCTTGATACTTGAAAAATCATTGGCATATGAGCCCTGTTTGCCTTGAATATATTCACCAGGTAAAAAACATGTTCATTTTCTACTCTTCAGTGCTTTCCTGTATCCTTCAATTTTAAGAGGGAAAGTTGATTCCCAGGAAAATAAGTGTCCACTGAAGAGGTTTCCCCATGCTGTCCTAAGCAACCTTCTTTCTTTTTCTGGTAATTCTAATGAATAATTATTATGATGTGAGGTCTTAGGTGCCAGCTTTTATTCCAAGCACTTTAAATAAATCAACTCACTGAATTCTCAGACAATGCAGTGAGGTAACCATTATCATCGTCCCCTCTCAGAAGAGTCTCTTTCCATTTCTGTAACTAGATTTATGATTCCCCAAGAGACCCAGTGATGCTCGAGTCCCCTCTCTACCTCAGGGACAAACTGGCATTCCTTTTCTTCCGTCCTACCTCCCACCAAGTCCCACTTCACCTGGTAGGCAAGCTTTCCTGCTGCCGGCATTCTTCACATGTCATCATTACTTTTAAAGTGGGAATGCATGTGAAAGCAGCTGGCAGAGAGTTTCACAATACCAAAACCAGGAAAGGACACAACCAGAAAAGAAAACTACAGACCAATATCCCTTATGAATATAGATGCAAAAATTCTCAACAAAATCCTAGCAAACCTAATTCAGGTGCTTATCAAAAAAATAATCCATCACAACCAAGTGAGCTTCATCCCAGAGATGCAGGGATGGTTCGACATATGCAAATCTATAAATGTAATTTACATAAATAGAAGCAAAAGCAAAGACCATATGAACTTCTTAATAGACGCAGAAAAAGCATTTGACAAAATTCAACCACCCTTTTATGATAAGAGCGCTTAACAAAATAGGCATAGACGAGATTTATCTAAAAGTGATACAAGACACATATGACAAATCCACAGCCAACATCATACTGAATGGAGAAAAATTGAAAGCATTCCCACTTAGAACTAGAACCAGAAAAGATTGCCTTCTATCACCACTTCTATTTAACATAGTGATGGAAATCCTAGCCAGAGCAATCAGACAAGAGAAGGAAATCAAGGGCATCCAAATGGGGGCAGAAGAGGTCAAACTATTGCTCTTTGCTGACGATACAATCTTATATCTAGAAAACCCCAAAGATTCTGCCATGAGACTACTGGAATTGGTAAACAAATTCAACAAAGTCTCAGGTTACAAAATCAGTGTACAGCAATCAGTAGCATTCCTATACGCCAAAAACAAACAGAAGCAAATCAAAGACTCAATACCTTTCACAGTAGCAACAAAGCAAATAAAATAGGAATATATTTAAGGATGTGAAAAACCTCTACAGGGAGAATTATGAAACACTAAGGAAGGAAATAGCAGAGGATGTAAACAGGTAGAAAACCACACCATGCTCATGGGTTGGCAGAATCAACATTGTTAACATATCTGTACTACCCAAAGTGATCTATAGATTCAGTGCAATCCCTATTAAAATACCAACATCATTTTTCACAGATCTAGAAAAAATAATTCTCTTCGTATAGAACCTGAGAAGACCCTGTATAGCAAAAGCAATCTTAAGCAAAAAGAATAAATTGGAAGGCAACAGTTTACCAGACTTCAAGCTATACTACAATGCTATAGTTACTAAAAGAGCATGGTATTGGCACAAGAACAGAGACATAGACCAATGGAACAAAACCGAGAACCCAGATATAAAACCATCCTCATATAGCCATCTAATCTTTGAATTTGAGATAGTAGTATTTATATGAGCTGTAGAAAACACTTCCAGATACACTGCACATTAGAAATTCTCAATGGATTTTCTTTTCCAACTTGGTCAAGAGATTGGTAGGAAATTGAGTAAGCCAGCTCCCTAAAACCTGTTTGCAAGTCTGTGAGAAAAGATAGAATTTATTCAATTTGCAGAAAATATTGATGCTATGGAAAGATTAAACCCAAATGAGCATTTGTTTCCTAGAACAGGCCATCCCTCCGCCTCTCTCCTCCTCCACCTGTTCACTGACTGGCAGGCGCATGCTAAGACCTGTTTTTTAAATAAGAAACAGCATCAGAGAAATGTTTCAGTACAATCTCTCCGAGTGATCTCAGCCCTTGGATCAGCAAGCAGCGGCTGTCTTTGGATTTGAGTAAGAACCTCACCGCCACCCTATTTATCTCTCGGGTTCTGCAGCCACTGCAATTTGGAGCCTGTTGTGCTGGCGGGCGGGGTGGGGGAGGTCAGATCGGGTGCTCCAGTGTGATTTTATGGTGCTCAATAATTAATGAGCAAATTAGTACCGTGTCCTAATAAAGAGGATGACTAAACTCCTTGCATAGAAGTATACAGTCTGTTTAGGAAATAGTGAATATACTCAAATGACATGCACATTCATGGAACCAGGAAGAAGGTGGAAAAGCCAGAAAAAGACGACAGGTAAGGAAGAGCAAGTGGGAACAGCATTGCACCTGTGTGCCAGAGTGGTGTAGATCAGCGGTCCCCAACTTTTTTGGCACCAGGGACCATTCTCATGGAAGACAGTCCACGGGGGGGGGGGGGGGGGGGGATGGTTTTGGGATGATTCAAACGCATTACATTTATTGTGCACTTTTCTATTATCACATTGCAATATATAATGAAATAATTATACAACTCACCACAGGTTGGGGTGAGTAGCATTCCTATACAGGAAGAATTATGAAACACTGAGGAAGGAAATAGCAGAGGATGTATTAGGTGGAAAACCACACCATGCCCATGGGTTGGCAGAATCAACATTGTTAAAATGTCTGTACTACCCACAGTGACCTGGAGTAGGTAGTGATGCAGCCTGCACTCAGCCGTTTCCTCCCACCTGAGCTGAAGCTCTGTGCGAGCATTAGCCATGAGCTTTTAAGGAGAGCTGCAGTGAATTCTTTAGCTGAGAGAGGAATTTT